GGGGTTCCTGCTCTCACGGAACGAACATTCTAGTGGAGGGGGAGACAAGGTACCGGCAAACAAATGCGTAACATTTGGGGACAGAGGGAATCTGCCTTCTCATGCCCCGAGCACTGCTCCCTTGACTGCGGAGCCAGCTCAGATCCCAAAAGCTGCTCTTGGTTTGAAGAGGGGCAAGAATGACGATTTGCTCTTGGTTTTTTGTTGTTTTTTTTTTTAAAGATTTTATTTATTTATTTGACAGAGAGAGAGGGACAGTGAGAGAGGGAACACAAGCAGGGGGAGTGGGAGAGGGAGAAGCAGGCTCCCCGCCGAGCAGGGAGCCCGATGCGGGGCTCCATCCCAGGACCCTGGGATCATGACCTGAGCTGAAGGCAGACGCTTAACCGACTGAGCCACCCAGGCGTCCCTGCTCTTGGTTTAAGGTTGCTTTCAGCCAACAATCGGAGCAAAAGGAATAATGTGCAAGGTCAAGAATGCAGGGGAGTGGGTGTGGCTCCCAGAAGGCTTCCAGGTTCCTCAGGGGATTTCGGCAGAAGCTCTGCAATCAAAGCAGCTTGTACCAAGGAGCCTGTCGGCCACTTCGAAAGAGCCAGAACTGAGACCTCGTTGCCTTTCATGTCATTTTGCTGCGTGCAGGGGTCTGCCTACGGCATGTGAGACAGCACTTGTGCCTCAAGTTGGGTCCTTCCGTGGTCTGTTTCTTGCTGCATCGCTGGACCTGGCCAAGCCTGGCCATGGTCCCCAAGTGGAGTGCTGATCCCCAACTGGAGCGCCCGGCTGAGTTCTCCTCAGTGGCTGTTGTTGCTTCCTCGTGGCCTTCAGCAGGGAGCTGAGAAGCAGGCCAAATTTCTCTTTACTCACCTCCCTGAAGACCCAGACACTAACACTCAGGGCACACTGAGGGTCTGGGAGTTACAACAGAAGAGGAGAAAACTGCAAACTGCTTCTGAAGGCTGTCTTCAGTCCAGGAAAAACCCAGGCACATGCCAAAGCCCCCCTACACAGAGATTTGCTCATAGACACCCTCTTTTCCTCTCCTTTAGCCCCCCCTTCCCAGAAAGCACATGGACACTGTGAATCAACCTTTTCCCAGCCACATTCTAGGGCATTTTATCTCAGAGCTATGTGAAGTCTGTCTATTGAATTATTTGATCTTTTGTTTTGAGAGAGTTCTTGTTCTTTCTTTTCTTTTTTTTTTTTTTGAGAAAACAAAGCTGTTACATTTTTCATCCGGTACCTGTCAAAAATCTTCTGATCTGTACTCTTCATCTGCCTTTTGTGAACCTTTTTTCATAGGTCCTGTGCTAGTTTATTCCTGCATGTTCATCCTGGAATTGAAGCAGTTCTGTCTGGGTCTGTGTTTACCCATTAACAATATGGGCAGATACACCTTGACTCCCATCCCTGGTCATCTGAGCAATGGTGAAGCTTCTCTTTCAGAGCTGGAGCTGGAGGGCTGGCTGGACGTTCCTCAGGAAGCAGGAAGGGTTCGGAGGCAGTGGGAATGTGCCATCTGTTCTTCCTCTCTCCTCAGGCTTTCCCTCCCATCTGCCAGGCTCCTGTGCTTATGTGGTTTGTGAGCCCGTGGCAGGACTCGCTTTGAATTTCCAACCCCCCCTCCCGCCCCCTACTTCAGGGCAAACAGGCCCCTCCCAAGACGGCCTGGGTCAATGTGATTTCCCATGCGCCTTCTTCTGGTAGACTCAAATGTCCTTTTGGCTAGTATCTTTCAAGAGGGTCAAATGGCTCCTAAGATACACTTTTTCCTCTCACCTTCACCCTTTCCTCAGATTAGGCCAGCCCTTCTTATCAGCACATTGGGGCAGTGGAAAGAGAGAGAGAGAGAGAAGAAGAAGAAACAGCTTCTTCCCAGTCTTTCCCATGCTTCCAGCCCTCATTCCTCCAAATCAGGCATTTCAGGTGTGTAGAGCCTTCTTGCTCATGTCCCTCACCTGACGTCAGATGGGTAGGACTTGGTGTTCTCTTTCAGTTCGTCCACACGTATTGTATACAGCAGGTCTTCAGAGCATAGAGTTTAGTCATTCTCTTCTTTCAATAAGGTTCTTCTATATATTGAGCCATTTTTGCTTATTTCCATGGGTTCCAAGGAGTTACGCCAGTGAACACTTGCTCTGCCATCCTTCCAAGAAGTTTCTCAACTGCTAGATATATTCAGTAGTGAGACCACAAAACTAAGATGTCAGATGAAGAGGAACATACATTTTTGTAAATTGGGAAGGTAAGACTAAAAAAGCTAACAAGTGAATAAAAAGATTAAAACTCACAGTGATGGAACAGAATCTGAACAGTTAGAAAATGAAACTCAAGAATTAGCCGAAAGTATAAAGAAGAATGAAACTCTATGAGTAAAGTTATATGGCAAAAGCATAAAAGTAAATGGTAGCAAAGTCTAAAAGAAGTAGTATTTAAGTACTTTTAAACAAACTTTTAAAGATTCAAGGGCTAGAGAATCACATGCTAAGACAATGAAATAACCTAAGTATTTAAAGATTAAAATAAGTGAAAAGGTGGAATGTAAGCAATATATAAGGTGGTCTCATTCTAAAAATGTGCCTCTAGGGGTGCCCACCTGGCTCAGTCAGAAGAGCACGCGACTCTTGATCTCAGCGTCGTGAGTTGGAGCCCCACGGGGGGTGTAGAGATTACTTAAATAAAACTTAAAAAAAAGATGTCCCTGTAGTGACTGATGTACAGAGATGTCTAAGACTATGTTTAGGTAGAAAAGCAGGTCACAGAACATCGCGCCGTCTACAGACCTATATGTCACACACAGCTTTGCAGATAGGAGGAGAACAGAGCTCTAGGGATCGCACCGCTCTATTAGCTGGAAGTGGGAAGAGAGTGGAGGTGGGATGTTGTGGGCACTGTCAGATCCCCTCAGGTCCCCTCACCATTTCTGGCTGTTTCTCCCCTCCCCCCTTCAGTGCACTTTGGCTCCAACAGCCACGCCAGCCCTCACTCCCATGCAGCTGCTCTGGGTATATGTGTACCTGGGGGCTTGCCCCCAAGCCCCACGGTGGCCCTCAGTGCCTTGTCTCAGGCAGGGCAGCCGAGGCAGTCTGCCTGGAGGGATGCTGTCCAAGATGGAAAGCGAGCTCCATAGGTGATTTTACATTTTCTAGTAGCCACATTAAAATTAATTCTAATATTCTTAGAATTTTATCTTCAACATGTAATCAATATAGAAATTATGAATGAGGTGTTCTAAATCCTTTTTCATGTGTATTAAGTCTTGGAAATCAGCATGTATTTTACGCTTCCACAGTTCACTTTGCACATATCAGTCGCTCGGTTGTCATAGGTGGCCACTTAGGACAGCCCAGCTCACCCAAACCAAAGCTGTCCCCTCAGAGGACTCTGCCTGCAAATGAAACCTCATGTCCCTGCCCTGCTTTCTCCACTCCCTTATGGGTTTCTTTTAGGAGCACTTTCTTAATAAATTTTTTGCATGTATTATTATTATTATTATTATTATTTGTAATTTAAAAAAATCTAGAAGTTTCAAAAGGAAACAAAAAATGTTATCTCTCATCCAGAAGCCCTGCTTTGTGGTTTGTTTGTCGATTGCTAAGGCAGCCGTAAACTCTAGGGAGCCTGGGTTTCAGAAGACTTGGTGGGGGGGGGTCCCACTGAGTAAAGAACAACTGATAACATCTCAGGAACTTGGCCTCTTGCCGTTTGTCAGATGTGGAAGGCTTGAGCCTTTGATGTCGGTCTAGTTGCTGCTGAGATCAGTGGCCTCACGCTATCCTGGGGTGAGATTATCTGGAAGTCTGGCTCAGGCATGTGGCACGTGGCCTCCAGGGGGAAGCTGGGTCACCGCTGGAAGAGGAATGGCAGATGGGCCTGGCAACAGTGACCTTTTTTTCATTTTGAACTTGGCCGCAGCCTAGCTGGTACCACGGCAGCAGCTTGGGAGTGGGCAGAGCCTGTGTGGCTCCCCACAGCCAGGCTGCCTCCCTTCCCTTGGCATCCAGCTCCATAGCAGGATGGTGGTTCCCTCTGCAGATGCCTCCACCTCGTGGATAATACGGCTTGAGCCAGTAGGCCTTCTGTGCTTTGCCCTGTCATAGTCTTTATGAAGAAGGCATTCTCAAGAGTCCCTTTTGACCAAAGTGCCATCGAAGATGGCTTTTGGTTTCTGTTTTTGCATGTCCAAGGAATTGGATTTAGTTGGCTTATTTGTCTGGCACTGGAGGTAGGGGGTGAGGAAAGAAGGCTGGCTGCTAATTGGCTCAGAAAATAATTCCAGTCCGGGGCCGAGATGCCTGTGTTTCCCTAGCGAAGCAGCCCCTTCTTCCCAGAACTACCTTTCCCACCTTCCCCACTGTGTCCTCAGAGAAAGGAGCAGGCAGGTTGCAGGAACACATCTCTCAATTTATTCTCATATGCAACTCATTTATTCAACAGGCTTTTGCTCCTTGCATACTATTTATGCCATTAGTCTTGAAGGGTCTCTTTGGTCCTCTCTGTCTACAGTGTTGTTGCCAGCATAGGCCCTTTTGATGGCTTTTCTTGCATATTTTAATTGGAAGTAAGGAGAGAAAACCAAGCACGCTTGGACTCACACAGTGATGGAGGTCCCACCTCTAGTTAATCTCCAAAAGCACTCTAGACAGAACTTCCTCTTAATGAATGTTGCCTTTCTGAATGAATCTGCGATGGCTTGAGTGCTCACTGGTCCTCCTTTTACCTTAGACCCCACTCACTTGACATAGTGGGTGACTTCGCTCAGTACTGAGGGATGTGACAGGATTGCACGGGGCCTTCCCCACAGCACGCCCAGGCATCGCTCTGCACAGAGAAGCGTGGTGCAGTCTCGCTGGGGCACCCGGGTCTTGGAAGTGCCTTGGCTTTGCCCTTGCTGACTTCCTCATGGGGCTGGCCTCAAGGTAAGAGTGCCAGAATAGGCCAGTGGTTGGCCTGCCATTCCTATTCTCTGATCTCAGTGCCTTTCCTAACTCCTTCTGCTTCAGCTCGGCACCTCAGCCTCCAGGCCCACTGATGGATCCGCTGACCAAAGGGTCCTGTAGGAGTCAGATGGCACAAACTCTTCTATGGAAAGCCAAGTCATCTCTGTCATTTGGAATCCAGCCTCTTCAGACATGGCCAACAGAAGACCCTGAAGTAGAGTCGCAGGTCAACCTGTAAGTAAGTAAAAGAAACATCATCTGTTTGGGCCCATGCTCACTCTAACTTGAAATCCCTTAATGCCCAGGAAGAAAATACTTTTTACCTTTTCGGGGAGAGTAGGGAGGGGAGAGGGGATTGGATGTTTGGTTCGGAGATTTCCTTTCTGTTCTTAATGATGCCTTCCTTGTGTATTTCTTCCTTTACTTGGCAATAGTCACTGAGCACCCACTCTGGCCAGGCCCTGTGTCAGGCATGGTGAGCACAATAGATTCAGTTCCTGTCTTCAGGGGATTTGCAGCTCATGAGACAGATAGCCCTTCATCAAATAACCATGCAAAGAAATACTAACAAATTTTGACAAGTGCCGTGAAATGTGTTGCCTTGATTCAATGAACATTTACAGAATGTCTTCTCTGTGCCAGCAGCATCTTGGGGATAGAAGAGAATAAGGCAGTGTCCTTACCCTTGAATAGCAAATCATATCTATAAGGGGAAAAAAATCCAGTATTATTCAGAAGAAGTGATGATAATAATAAGTATAGTATAACTAATAGGGACTCAAGTCCCGTGGGGTGGTAACTGTGTTTTCCTGTTTACTCCTGAATCCTCAGGGCTTTGTTATGATGTACAAAAATATCTGTTGGATGAATGAATAAGTGAATGAAGAGAATACGAAACAGGGTGCTTAGTTCTCCAGGGGAATCCAGGGCAAGTAGGTGCAACAATATGATTGACTTACGAACAAATGAGATGCCTCATCAATTCAGTGTGACAAATATTGATCAATACTTGCTGTACCCAGTGCTTTTGTAGAGCTAATTTGTAGCTGGGGGCAGGGATCAGGATCACCTGAGGAGCATAAACAATTTATGCCCGAGGCCCACCCCAGAGATTCTGATTCATTGGCTCCACAAAGGCGAAAGAGGACTTTTCGGTATGTTTGCCTTCACAGAACTTATAGCCAATCCAGGGAGACAGACAAGTAACCAGATAACTCCAGTCCTGCTTGAAAAGAACCAAGTATAAAGTGCGTTAGGAGTAAGTACTCTGCTGGAGCACAGGGAAGAAAAGGTATCAGCTGAGATCAGCCTGGTAGGATGAGCCTGGGCCAGGACAGGAACAGGGGAAGAAGACCACTTTAAACGGAGGGAACTACAGAGCTAAGGCTCAGATCCATGAAAAGTATGTTTCAGCAACGTCGACAGGTGTTAAACCAGTGGTTCTCAGTGCTGACTGCACATGAGAATCCACCCCGGGAGCTTTAAGAACCAGGAAGCCTGCGTCATTCCTCCAAGATTCCAAGGTCTAGGGTGAGACACAAATACCAGTACTTTAGAAAGCTCCCCAGGTGATTCTCATAGCCACAAAGGCTGAGAAACGCTGTTTTCACAAAAGTGACCACACGTAATAAAATAAATGCAAAATAGAAGCAGCTTCTGTGCCTCGCCAAGGGGTCTGAACTTTCTAACTTAGGCAATGGGGAGCCTTTGATAGCATTTACAATCTGAAGAGATAATGCAGTTTAAAAAGTACAAGGTTGGGGCGCCTGGGTGGCTCAGTCGTTAAGCGTCTGCCTTCGGCTCAGGTCATGATTCCAGGATCCTGGGATCGAGTCCCACATTGGGCTCCCTGCTTGGCAGGAAGCCTGCTTCTCCCTCTCCCACTCCCTCTGCTTGTGTTCCCTCTCTCGCTGTGTGTCTCTCTCTGTCAAATAAATAACTAAAATCTTAAAAAAAAAAAAAAGTACAAGGTTCACATCGTTTAGAAAAATTCATGATTGCCAGTTCCGTCGTGGATTCTTCAAGGAAACATGGGCGAGTCTGGAGTCACCACGGGCTTTTCGGAGTGACCACCATACCTTCCATAAATGGCCCTTTAATGAAAATATGAGATTTAATCTGAAACCTAAAATTTCAGTAAATACTGAATTATCTGAGCAGAATTATCCTGTTGCTGGCAAGGAAGGGCAATGAGACGGGGCTCCATCCACAGAGGGTGCCGCGGAGAGGACCCCGGAGAGCACCAGCAGGTGCGCGTCCATACCGGGCACGCCCTGGGTGCCACCTCTTTTCTAGACTACAAGCCCCACAGTGCTCTGCGCACACGACGCAGTCAAAGGGGCGGGCAGGGCTGCGGGAGAGCCTATGAGATGCAGTGGAAGCAACCTAATTAGCATCTGGAGGGCCCTATTGGTGAGTTATCTGGTTAAGGATGGGCCAGGCCCTGGTGATTGGCGGCCGACCAGCTGGCTAGGCTGCAGGGAGAAGGGGTTAGTGAACCGAGTCCGGATCAAGGACTGGACTCCAGACTCAAGGGCCGGACTTGAAACTGATTGTACCAGGAGTCCGATGTTGGGTTCTCTGGAAAACGGGCTAGAAAGATGTGTCTTTAAGAACCGCTGCCGTTCTGTGAGCCACTCATTCATTCATTAACTCATTCATTCAACAGTGTTCATTGATTACCTATGTACCAGGCACGTGTGCAAACATCCTAAATGCATTTTCTCATTTGGTCTTCATGAAAACCTGATGAGGTAGCTACTGTTAGCTCCGTTTTACAGATAAGGGAGCTGAAGTCCAGAAAGGTTAAGAGACAATTCCAAGACACACAGCCTTTAAGTGACAGGGCAGGGATTTTGAACCTAGATTTGTCTAGCTCCAGTGCCCGTCTCCTAACCTCAGGGTGCTCAGCCATGCAATCAGGAGCAAAGTGTTTATGGAATGTAGGCATTCACAGGGCATCCTGATATATATGAATATATATGCATACATATTCAAGTGAAGAATATAACAGTGTCTTACTGGACACCAATCTGGACAGATTCTGATATCAAACAATTCACTGAGCATCTGTGTGCTGTGCTGGACCCTGTGCTATGCACTGGGGATGCAAAGAAAGCCTCTCCTTCCAGATGAAGGGGGGTGAGGAAAGTGCTATTCCCTAGGGCAGTCCAGGGAGATTTCCCAGTGGAGGGAATACCTGAAGAATGGAGCTTTACCAGGAAGAAGTGGGAGAGGCCTTCCCAGACAGAGGTGACCATATGTGCAAAGGCCAGCAGCATCAAGGCACTCTGAGTGTTTAGAGAACCATGAACAGTCTCATTTGGCCAGTGCTTCTTGAGGAGTGGTGGGTGGTGAGCCTGGGAAAGTAAACAGAAGCCTACTTAACCACTGAGGAGTGGGAGGGCTTAACCACCCACTAAGAAGTTTGGTTTTGAGTCTGTAGGCTGGGGCATAGCATGATCAGATTTGCTAATTGGGAAAATAACTGGTGTCAGTGGGCAGCTAAGTTGCAGCAGGATAAGGCTGGTGGCAGGGGACCCTATTAAAGTGGCCAGGGAAGAGATATAAGCGTTCTAATGAGTGTCAGGAACCATGGGATTGATTCAAGAAATATTAGAGAGGAAGATTAGAGTGGTACATGTGTGGGTGGTGGGGTGAGTAAGTGACCCTCTGAATTTTGATTCGGGCAACTGAGTGGTTGGTCTTGCCATTAATGAGAGGGCCCTGAGATGAGACAATGCAAAATCCAAGATAGAATAAGACAAAGATCATTAGATAAATGCCATCAGTACTAAAAAGGGGTACAGTTACATCTCTGGGGGCAGAAGATGCTTAGGAAAGTCTTTTCAGAGACAGTAACATGAAGTGGACCTTGAAAAAGGAGCACCTCCCTCCCTTTTCTTTTTTTGGACTACCTTTTAATAGGCAGAGATGGGGAGGAGAATATTCTAGATGGCCAGATCTTGGTTTGCCTCTTGTGTGGTGCAGTATTAGGAAGTCTGGAAAGTCAGATTGAGGGGCATATTGTAAAAGATGTTGTACTTAATCCCTGGGCCATGGGGACCCTCTGAATGGTGTTTGAAACACGCAAGTGTTGGTTTGAGCCCTGCTTTGGCAAAATTAATTTCACAGCTGTGTACAGCAATGAGACCAGGAGCCAAATAAGAGATGGACTAGGCTGTGTCTTCTTGGTTGTAAGTTAAATAAATACAACTCAAATTCAGGCCAAAAAGGGAGAATGTCTGGGTTCACATAACCAAACTAAGGAAAGGGATGGATCTGGCTTCAGGGATGGCTAGATCCAAGGACGCAAATGCTGCCTGGTCAGTGAATTTCTTTCTCACTCCCGTGTCCTCCAAATTCTTAGCCCTGCTTCTCTGTTGGCCTCCTTGGCTCCTACTGTCTATGAGTTGTCACCATGCAGCAGGTGACATCTCAGGTAGCATGAAACTTGAGAGGAAAAATCTTTCCCATTCGTTAGAAGAAGCATGGGGAAGGTCTGGGCCACGTGTCCACGCCTGGTTTTGTGGGCGAGTATGTTACCAGGGGAAGAAGAGATAGTTCTTGTCTGCCCTGGTGAGCAGAGCAGCCTTGGAGAAGAAAAGGTGTCAGGAGGTAGGAGAAGAGGATTCAAATGGGTCATGGAAGCCATTGGAGGGATTTCAAGATGTGGAGTGGTCTGTGAGTGATCACAAAAATAACTTAGGGAGTTTTTTCAAAATATGGCTCATGGAACCTATTTAATTGGAATCCCTAGTGGTGGGACTCAGGCGGCTGGCTTATGGTGTCTAATGCAACCGAAAATTTGCAGATGGAACTGCAGTCTGACAACTGAATGTGATAATCAGACAGCTGTGGAGCACCTTTGAGAATACTGCGATTTCACTTGGGAAGGGAAGGCAGGAGGCCGAGTGCGAGACTCTGCAATCCTCACTTCTCCCAATTCATAACCTTGTTTCAGGACCATTAACAACCCGAAATGAGGTAAAATTTCTTCCGAGACGTGTTGAGTACGTTAGGGAAAAACTAAGGAAAGCTATTAGAAAGATGGTTTTTGGGAACATTCTGCCTTAAATGGATGTCAGCCAGAAGGGGAAGGAAGAAAGTTTGAAAAGTTTTTAATCCCCTCTGAATTCTCTGCTAATTCTCTTTTACTATGATTCATGAAAATATCCTACCAAAAAGTTGGATTTCTTACAACGGGTAATTCAAACTTCATTTCCCTCGCTAGG